GATATGTAAATATAAATTATGAGGGTTAGAAGATAAAAGGCTTGGATGTTGATAGAAAGAAAATGATTTGAGATATATAAAAGAATAAAACATGTTTCAGATTTCTTTCTCATGCTATTCTGCTGTTATTCTGTTATTCTGCCATTATAACCTTCTCCAAAGGTTCCTAGTTCTAACATTTAATAAAATTCTGATAAACTATTCATCTAGCACTACTACTATTATCTTAGCCACAGGCTTGGGATTTTAAATTCCCTTTGGTTGTTTTTTTACTATGGACTTAAATATGCTTCTCATTATGTTGAGGGAATCTGTCTAATCTATACACATCCAGTTTTTCTGGATAGAGAAAATGCTTTTACCAAAATCATTTTTAGGTTTCCAAACTATTTTTTTTGGGGGGGGGGGGGTTGAGACAGGGTATCTCTGTGTAGCTTTTCATCTTTCCTAGAACTCACTCTGTGGCCCAGGCTAGCCTCAAACTCACAGAGATCTGCCTGCCTCTGTCTCCCAAGTGCTGGAATTAAAGGCATGCGCCACCACTGCCTGACAATTTCCTAAATTTTATTATGCCTCAAACTATGAGTCTCTTGGCCTCTTCTACAACATGGATTTCAATACAAATCATAAATAATAATAATGCTAACATATCTGACATTTTTGCCTTTTAAAAGGGGTCTTATAAACCTCAGGAAATCAACTTGGATCCACCAACATTATCACAGATCAAAATAAATTCAGATAAGTAGTACTTATGAACAGTTTGTTTTCCCACCTGCCTAATTTCTTTTTGGGGGAGAAGGGAGGGGTGTCCTCTCACACTGTCCTAGAATGCCCTTCTCTCATCTGCCAAATCTATACACTTAAAAATTCCAAATATACACCTAAAAGATGTTTCCTCTTTAAATTACCTTCACTTCCTGTTGTGCCATTAATATATATTTGTCACCAGATATCTAATCTCTTAAAAAGTTACAGTTGCTCCATCTGCCCTCTGACATTCCAGAGGGCCATACTGCACCCTCCCAACGCAGAGTGCTCCAAAGCTGCCTGCATGTCTATCAGAGCCTGGAAAATGAAACAATCTACTCTTCCCAGGTTTCCACTCTATTCCAGATTGTGAGCCCAACACAGCTTTGTCCCCATATCAGCAGGAAGTAACCATGAGCGATTTCTACACCCCTGTCACTTACCCCTTTTTCTATATTGAACTCTGTAGCTGAAAGTTTCTCTGTTCTGCCTGGTCCTGCCAAACCCCTTGTTCCTCTGGGCTTCGTGGTCCCACAGCCACTGATAAAATAATCACTCAGAAGCTTATATTAATTGTAACTGCTCAGTCATTAGCTCAGGCTCATTACTGCCTAGCTCTTACACCTGAATGGACCCATAATTCCTATCTATGTTTAGCCACCGTGGCTTAGTACCTTTTCTCAGTTCTGTCTTGTCATCTTGATTCTTTTGTGTTGGGCTGGCAACTCCTAACTCCTTTCTTCTTCCCAGCATTCTCCTCATCTGCTCAGCCTGCCTATACTTCCTGCCTGGCTACTGGCCAATCAGCATTGTATTTATCAACCAATCAGAAAAGCACATACACAACATACAAAACAGCATCCCACAGCACTTCCCTTCTTCTGTCTAATCAAAAGGGAAGGTTTTAACTTTAACATAGTAAATTTACATATAATAGAACAGTTATCAAGCAAGAATTACAGTTACAATATCTAGTCTATTTATATTTGGCAAATCCAAAGAAAATATTCTATTTATGCTATATTTGTGAGTCTAGGGGTGTATATCTAATTTATCTTTTATCATAACTAAGGAAAACTATAATTATAACTATCTAGTCTTCAACTACATCAAAGACCTCAGAAAGGATATAATATTACCTAAGTAAACAGGAAGAACATTGTAATCAATTTTAAAATCTTAGAATGACAGAGACACCTGGCTACCTGGACAGTTACCCAAAGTTCCTCTGTAACATTGGGACATCCACCTTCAGCCAATAGGCCTAGAGATTTTTAGTCATGTCTCCCTGTGTCCTGTAGAATATTTGGCAGTCTCCTCTGTGAAGCAGGAACTTGAAGGACCATTTCACCTTGTTTTGCCAAATTCAGTGGTCATTTTTCCATGAGTCCTGCATATCCAGTCAATACAGCATTTTGTCAAGCAGTTCAGGCAAGAAAAGTTTCTTGCCCAAATGGCTATTTTTGCCAAGAAGAAGATAAACTCTTCTTGGCAAAAGTGTCTTTAATGCCCATCCTCCTCTCTGAAGTAAATCAGTGCTTCCAGGAGCAGACATGTCTCACTGTCCAGAAAGTTTAAGTTTTTAAAACATTTTAAATGCCATATTCTGTAGGTCTTTGAAGTATTTGAAGATTATATACCTAATTAAAATATACCTTTATATATCTTAAAAACTTAACTAACATGACTATAAATTTGATTATCCTAGATGATTATTAATCTGTATTTCTTAATTATCCATTACAATTTAAATGAGTTACATAAACATAATACCTTGAATGAGAGTAGAAATATATATACAGTATAACAAAATTAACTTTAAATTCATAATAAACTAAAATCTATAGCAATTTAAAGCAAGTTGTTGCTCTTTAAAGGTAGGTTCAATAATCCCTTTTATCCTATCATATGTACAATATCATCCCTTTCCTTCTTTAGAAAGAGGTTGCATTTATAATCAACCTGCTTTATATAAAAATAAACATTTATAAACAACATTTAGGGAATTTGGGTGTAGCTTCTCATACTACTTCCTGCTGGTTGAGGGCACTGGCAATCTAATGGGAATCCCAAAAAAAATTAAGAATTATGTTCAAGTCCTAACTGAACTAGTCTGTGGGGCTGCATTGTCTGAGCCAGTTGTCTTGAAGTCGTTTTGGATGTTGGATCATCTGGGCCATGGTGTCATCAGAGACCTTTCAGGGGATCTTCGGTGACCAAACCATATTAGCCTAGAAAAAGCACTCACTCCATATGTTCTCATCTTCTGTGGAAACAAAAGCAGAGTCTCCTTTCCAAAGCAACATAACCTTAGATCCAAGTTTGGAAGTCAAGAAACCTTTAAAATATACTTATTGGTTTAACTGAGTAACCTTTTCAATCAAATGTCTCTCTCCAGTCAAAAATACCGAAAACATAATCCAGACTCTCTGTGTAATCTTCATCTTTACGTGGCTTAACTTTTACATTACTTTTACTGTCTCTTTGAAGACTTTATTTTTTACAACTATGTCCTTACATAACTTTCTATACTCTTTTCCTCTCTCTTCCAAGCCTACGAACATTTTTATACATAATGTAAACAATTTAGAGGTTTATTTCATCTGAATCTGTCTTTTTGTGAATCTATTGTTTAAACTGCAGCATGACTAGGACTGAAATGGCAGCTTTGGCTGCTGACTCCGCCCACCTCAGCTTTCCAACATGGTGGAACTACATTTACTGCCAGCTCTTGGGGAACCATGCAGTGGATCTGTGCTTCCATCCAGCAGCATGTAGCCCAAAAACCTTTTCTTTCTTTCCTTTTTTTTTTTTTTTTTTTGGTCTGTTGCAAAAGCTATATCCACCATGCACCATGCTGCATGGCTTGCAGATGCCACTTCATACAGTGGCAGGAATCTACCATGCTGTACTAAAGCCCATACACCATGAATCCACCATAGTAGCTCAAGTCCACATGCCACAGTATCTCTGTACCTTGGTGTTTATATATCTCGACCCACATAACACTTGAAGTAAAAAGCTGGTTTTGGAACCGTTATTTTGTGTTTAGAAGTCCTTTTTAAACTCTTTTAGGCCTTATGGAAATTCAAGAGCCCCAAATTGGTACGCCAAATGTAGCTGAAAGTTTCTCCATCCTGCCTGGTCCCACTAGACCCCATGTTCCTCTGGCCTGGTGATCCCACATCCACTTATAAAATAATCACTTAGAAGCTTATATTAATTGTAACTGCTCAGCCATTAGCTCAGGCTTATTACTGACTAGCTCTTATACCTAAATTAACCCATAATACTTATCTATGTTTAGCCACCGTGGCTTAGTACCTTTTCTCAGTTCTGCCTTGTCATCTTGCTTCCTCTGGGTAGGGCTGGCATCTCATGACTCCTTTCCTCTTCCCTTGGCTGCTAGCCCCACCTATACTTCCTGCCCGGCTACTAGTCAATCAGAGTTTTATTTATCAACCAATCAGAGCAACAAATTCACAGCATACACAACAACACCCCACAGCAGAACTCTCCAGCCCAGGAGCTGGACTGTCTTTAAAAAATGTTCTATTACTAATTGTATAAATTCTGTCCGTGATCCTGAAATGTATATACTATCAAACAATCCCCATACGTACTTCTGACAATTGTTCTGATATGTAAATCTTGCTATGTATACAATGAGATCAAATGGTACTGCTCTTTCAGAGACAAAATGGTTTATAATTGCTTTGGTTACAAGTTTAAATATAAGACAACTTCAACTACAGCTTTGGTCCTACAGATGCACACCACTAATTCAGGTATGCTCTTTATCTAACAATGCTTCATTAAAATACAGTCTAATCAAATTAATACAATTATTCAAAGATTAATGGGTAAAATTAATGTTCTAAACTATACTGTTTTGATCACTCATAATCATAATATTTAGACATACTTAATCACATCATATCATGCTAAATAATGATAGATTTTTATATTACTCCTCTGCCTTACTACAGATCAAAGGTATTCTGAGACCATATGCAACTACACCTATAGGGTGTTTACACTAGTTTTAAGCTTACCACTCATATAGATAACTGATTATTAATTATAAACATAAACTATTGATTCATTATAAATATTGGTTATTAATATAAATGTTTAAATGTCTATAAATTATTGATCCTTATTAATTTCAAAATCATTACAATATTACTTATCATTCTTCCAATCATCTTCAGACTTTTAATTTATTCACATTACTCACTGCCCTAAGATAGATTAACATGCTTTTTTTATTAAAAGAAAAAGGGGGAGGTGTTGGAGGCTGTGGGAGTATACAGTAGGTGACAACTAGTGTTCAGCAGGTCAAACCACTGGATGAATAACTCCCTAATGGGAAGTCCTACTTAGAAAGGCCATGGCATCACTGACTGTAAATGACTGGTTGCTTCTGTCTTGTAATTTTTCTCATGTGTCACTATATCTCTTCCCTAAAAAGTGCTAGGGGTGTTCTCCCCAAGCTTGTGTGTTTATCTCGTGAATATATTCCATCTGCTGGGCACACATACAGCTGTAGATGGTCAGAAAGATGATTTCTACTTAAGATGTATAATTTTGATGAATAGAATATGCTAGGATATGCTTCATAACTAGATCTATTGTCCCACGAGGACTGTAAGAGACGTAAAAGCCTACTTTGTTCCTTTAACTCAGACTAACATAAGAATATTTCCCCAGTCTACAACAAGCTATATACATTTTGCTGATTTTAAACCTCAGAGCAGTTTCAAACTAGACTGAATATTTCTGTAAATGGATCATAAGCATAAAACTTTACAGATATGCACAAGACCAGAGATGCAGATGTCTAACCAAGATTATAAAAACAAAGCAACCTGAAATACTATGTCAATTCTTCACTTGCCAAGTCTGACGATAAAGACCTGACTCCCTGTGCAGATCTCTCAGCAGCCTGTCTCACCAGGCACCGTGCCCTGGCCTCAGGTCACAGTTGATACACAAGAAATCTTGAAACATTGTGTTGCCATGGTAAGTGGATCTGGCCCTTACTGTTCACTCAAGAAATGTGCTATGACCTTCAGAGGTAGCTTTGGAACTCTTTTTATTACTGAAAAAATCCTCCTGAAAAATATGTATATAGCCATATATAACAGAGGAGAACTAGAGTTGTAAAGAATTAGACTGAAGAAGAACAAAGAACATGATCCAAACGGATCATGTGTGAAGTTATTATAGAAATCTATCTATCCTTGCTCTTGAGAAGTCTTCCCTGAGTTACCCTGGGTAGTGTCTTGGGAGCTGGATTCACAGGCACCTAAAATCAATGTGGCCTCAGGCTGCAACACAGGCCAAACATATAAACATGGCCTCTGGCAGCAACAAAAACTATAGACACCTACATGGGCCCCAGTGTCAGGATGGACCACAGACATTGATATAGCCTCAGTTTGCAGCATAGATCATAGACATCCACATGGCCTCTAGATGTAACACGGATCACAGACATCAATATGGCTTTCAGCAGCAGCATGGTCAATGAACATCAACACGGCCTCAGACAGCAGTCAGGGTCATAGACATCCGCTAGTCTTCTGGAGGTAGTATGGATGAAGAATATCAACATGGTCTAAGACTGAATCATGGATCAGTGACACCAATATGGCCTCTGGTGGCAACATAGACCACAGACATCAAACAAGGTCTCTGGTGGTAGCTAGGACCAGGGGCAGCAACATGAGCTTCAAGGTAACATAGACTATGGACATAATAAAGGCCTCAGGCAGTAGCACAAATCACTGATATCAGCATGACCCCCAATAGCATCATGAACAAGGGATGTCAACATGACTTGATATCAACTTTGGCAGCACAGAACATGAACCAAACCATGAATATCAATATGGCCACCAGTGGCAGCACAAACCACAGAGGCCAACAGGGCCCTTACAGGTAACAGGAACTATGCTAATCTACATGGCCTCCAGAAGCATCTCAGACTGTGGACAGGAGCATGGCCTTGGGGGACAGCACAGATACCAACATCAACACAGCCCCAGGCGAGAGCACAGACCAGGGATGCCCGATTGGTCTCCAGTAATAACATGCTCCATGGGTATCAACACAGCCTGCAGCAGCAGACAGAACCATGACACCAGAAGAGCCCCAGCTGTAGCACGGACCACGTAAAGCACCATGGAGTCTGGTGGTAGCACACATCATGGAGATTTTTTGAGAAGGCCCAATCCAGAAAATGAACCATTCTCCATCTTGGACATCCCACCGTTGCTGAGAGTCAGGGTGGTCGTGGAGCTGGGTAGTGCAATGTGGGCAGAGGTAGCAAGAGATCCAGGCTGCTGCTTACCACCATGCCAGTGCCAGGTTTCCTGAGGAGGCTCAACCCAGAAAATGAACTATTCTCCATCACAGACATCCTGATGTTGCTCAGAGCCAGGGTGATTGTAGACTATCACTGAGTCTGGTCTGGGATATCCTGTGGTTGCCCAGAGACAGGGTGATCTTTCGGCTGGTCAGGGTATCTGAGGCAGGATCCACTACAGCTCCAGGCCTCTGCACTTCTCTCTGTCTTTGGTGAAGGCCGTCCTGCTGACTCAGTAGGTATGATCATTGTACCTGTGGCCTGAGGGCAGCTCCACAGCAGTGGTGTTTCCACTGGGACCAAGAACTCACCCTACAAACCAACATCTTGAATCAATCTTCAAACATTTTTTAAAAGGTTCTGACAACAGATACTCCATACATGCCAGGGCACATTTACCAGAGATACAACCATTCTCTCTGACACTCTTCCATGATTTTCTAACAGCAGGACACCACTCGGGCTTTGGCTTGGGTTGCAGAGGCTGAGGCATTGGTGTGTGAGGCTCCTCCTTGGTGGATGCAGACCAGTGATATGGCCTGGTACAGGATACCCAGAGCTGTGGGGGAAGGGTGCAGGAGGAAGCCTCCCCCTCCAGCCCTCTACAGCAGCCATGTGTGCTGCAGCCATCTTGGCTCAATCCTGTCCTCCCTTCATTTTTTTAAGGTCTCAGTCATTCAAAGGAAGAACTAATGGAAAAAATCATATCTGGTCATAAAAGTGGAGGTCACTAATGCTGACAGGATTGCTATTCACGTTTAAGATATGAGTACCAACTCATACCAAAGCACTGAATTTAATTTAGAATCTCTCCTAGACTCCCAAACACCCATAAGTATAGTTGTCTATGATAGTTTCATCTTGGATATCACCACAGATTATGAATTGATTTTGATAATTTTAGAAGATAAAGAAATGAGTCACGGACAGTAGATAACATGTTACAGGTCTCTCATGATTGCTTTGACACAAGCTATGAAACTTCTGGGCACTACAAAGTATAGTTCTTGGGCATGCTGCAAATCCACTTCCTAGTTGTTTGGTCCCTGCCACTGCTGATTTTCTTATCAATCAGGTAGGCATATTCTCCTTCTCCTCGAATGGAAACCCTAAAACAAAAAACAAACAAAATTTCTGCAGAGTCTGCCATTGCATTCACTCCTGCAGTGATAGCTCACTCGTCTCTACTGCTTATTTATAACATGGATCACATAAAGGCAGAGTCCAGGAGGAATCACCAGCACGAGATTTACACCTAGTGACTTTTGCATTCTCAGGTTCAATTTGATGACCAGACCTTTGTCATTCATCCATGTTGAAGCCTGTACTGTATGTACAAAGCATTGACTGGCGCTTGCTGCCATGTTCAAGTGAACTTCAGCCATGGGTAACACCACAGGGTGGTTTTCAATTCTATCTTGAAGTATTTTTCACATGTATAAAAGTGGGAGAAAATGCACCAATTAATAAATTGCTGAAAGGTATTTAATCATGGACATGACTGGGGCTGTGTTTCACCGTTCCAATTAAATGGGTCTGTTCAAAATGGCTATGCTAACATCCAGGAGCTGTCTGGGGTGCTCTTTGATGATGAGCCTTTAGAGGAGGTTCCCAAAGCCCCTGGAGTCTCTGTTTCTGTGACAGGTGCAGCTGTGCAAACAGCTGTCTGACAAGTTCTTACCCCAGCTGTTCTGCAGTGGCTTCCTGGGGTTTCAGAGCCCTTAGTAGCCATCAGCAGTTCTGTCTACATCCCACAAGGGCAGTCATCAACAAGGAAAGATTTTCAAGGGCCATAGCACAAAACATCTACCCCAGGCGCCACCATCATCCTAAAGATTTGGAGTAAAACAACACTAAGTAAATCCAACGGATTTAAATTTGTCGGGATGTGGACTTTACTGGAGATTGACTGTGGCATGTACCACCAACCTAACCCCCAGGGCACACCTCAGGCCTAAAGGTTTATGTTCCCAGTACAACTGGCTCCATATGACACTGCCTTTCATTTCTCATAGCCACAACTCACACACATCACAACACAAGAAAAGAGGTCTGAAAACATACAAGTTGTTATATTCAGTGTTGTCTGTCCACCTCCAAGAATGCTTTGATGACTTCCTGTGCAGGCCAATCCAGTGGGCAGAATCATTCCTGTGTCTCTTTAAGAAATCCTGTCATAAAACACAGAAAGCAAATACATGTGTCTCTCAGCTTCAGATGGCCACGGAGTCTCTGCTCTATAGCCTCCCTCTCAGGATGGCAGCAGGTTTGAACTCAGGATAATCGACTAAATAACCCTCAGTTTTCAATGGATGCATTTTACTACCATAATCCATAGTACACTGACAACCACCCACCCTTCTGCAGCTGAACAAGTCCCTTGCTACGCCTGTATTCACAATTATTAATAGATGTCACTTTAAGTATGCAACACCTGCCTTCTTGGACAAAGACTGACATGACCACCATGTCTCTCAGTCAAATATATGTCTGGCCATGCAGGTTGACTATTAGCATTACAGGACAGAATAACTTTGCAATGTCTCAGGGCTACAGACATATGTGTTACCATCACAAATGGACCATACTAACATGTGCCCCATATCCCTCAATTCATAGGGTGGAATCCTTCCTCACACTTCAGCTTTGAGCTCCCTATCTCAAAGAAGTAAATATTCAACAGAACCAACAACAAACCAATTCCTGATCCTTTCTTACCAGCTCCTCCATGCTGTCAAATCGAGCTAGATGGGCATTTTGTTCCATACAGAATTTCTGGCTGGATAGCCAGTTTCTTAGGTCTTCAGAAAAATAGAAACATTTACTCCCATTTCCAATCCAGTCACTTGGGCAAGCAGTATGGTTATTTTCATTCTCTCCTCCTTTTGTAATGACAACATAAAGAAAACTCTTCACTTCTCTGGATTTAATTATGGTTAAATACCAGCATGCAAACCATGACATGGTCAAAACAGGTTTTTAATACCAAAACTTTGATCAAGGATTTCCTCTTATCATATACACACACATTAAATCCATATGAAAATATACTGGTTATCATTAGAGGATGTCAGAAAGGCAATCATCAAGAAATCTCACAATAGATGTCAGAACTCTGGACAGAAATTGGGACAATTATTCACTTCTGGAGAAAGTATAACTTATACATCCAGTATGGAGTCTCCTAACCAAAAATAAAAAATAAAAAAAATTAAAAAAATTACAAATCGACCTTTTGTGTCTAAGCTATACCACTCCTGGGCAAATATCAAGAGAACACTACATCATAACACAGAGATGCTTGCACATCCATGCTTATTAATGGCTCTCTATTTACAATAGTAACAAAATGAATGAAATAGATGCCCATCAACTGACTAACAGATCATGGCAATGAATTACATATACAAACTCAGACATAAAGAAAAATGAAAGTTGCAGCAAAGTGGAGGACCTAGAAAATATAATATTAAATAAGGTCACAAAAACTCAGAAAAAGACTCCATGCACTCCCCCATAAGCTTATCCTAGCCCATAATGTACAGTGTAAACAGCTGTGAGTGTGGGCATAGTGTAACACGGAGAACAAGGAAGAGTAGTGTAAGGTGAAGAGGAAGGACAGAATGTAGCAAAGGGCACATAAGCCATGAATAGGGTTATAAAGAGCATTATTTTTTCTAGATTCAACTTTGCTGGGTTTTTTTATAATTTGTGGCTGATAAGTGTATAAAAATGTAAATACAGCGAAAGTCTAAAACCATAACCCAAGTTCCTTGGCTTCAGGTTGTCTATTCTCACTGTGTGGAAGTTCATTGAGATTCATAGGGTTTGGAACTTTCAAGTGCTGGAGTGGTTATGTTGGTGGAGCTTTGTGATATGTTCATTTGTGAGTCTATTATAATAAACTGGGGTGTGTGTTTGTATGTTTGTGTGCATGTGGGTGTGTGTGTGTGTGTGTGTGTGTGTGTGTGTAAGAATCCCTGAATGTGTGTGTGTGTGCACGACTGTGTGTAAGAAACCCTGAATGCAGCAAGTTTTCAGAGGGCTGCTTAGAAAAATAAAGACATTTTTCTTTCATAACTTTGTATTTTTCTCTTTTAACAGATAAGAACGAATGCATGGCTCTTTGAAGGGCTATTGAGCCTAGAAACGAGTGATTTGATAAGAAATATTAAATACTAGAAATGACCCACACACACACACACACACACACTTATTTTTAATGTAGGGCAACTTGTTGTAACTGTTCCCTGTTCTCATATGCAGTACTATGAGGCTTTAATGAAATGAACAAATACAACAGGAAAGGAAGATTACTGTATCTTCTTTTTATCTGACTCTTTTCACAGCTACATAACAGTTTAGGTTACACTGACTGTCTTCTTGGCAAATGTTTGTCCAAGTTTAGACTTGCATATTATTCATTGACATGGTTAAAGTTGATTTTATAAAATAGTATCATGAATCATTTACTCTAGCTATGGCAGGAAAGCTATACAAGATTTTATCACATTATTCAAAAGAGTCTAAATATGAAAGCTTGGGAATCACATATTTCTGGAACATTCTATTTAATATTTTCAGACCATGGTTGAAGATCATGGTTGGTGTGGTGGTTCTATACCTTCTCCAACCATGTTACTCTTCATTCCCCTCACTTCCCTTAGCTGCAGCAGCCTCCTTGAGGCGACTCCTTTGAGTTTTCCTTTCCTTGTTCTCTGCCTTCAATTGGTCTCCCAGGAGGACATAAGTGCCCTGCATCTCTCTAGAGCTTGTTGAACGCCATCTTCCCAGGGATGCTGAGCCTGGCTTCCTGTGCACACCACAGCCTGTGCTGATCCTTCACTGCATCTTCCTGTTAGACCCAGAGAACAGGAATTTCCAGTGTGTTTTCTCCCCAGCCCTTCCCACAGTGCCTGGCTCACAGTGGTCAGTAAGTCTAAGTGACAATGTGGATGTGGAGAGAATGCTGCAGAATCTGGAGATGAGTCACTCACCTGACAATGACAAAGCATCGGACTGTGCAACTAGAGCTACAGGCACCACAACAATGATGATGATGATGATGATGATGATGATGATGATGATGATGATCACTGCAGACCAGCAGAGACACTTATCAGGAGACACAGAGTTGACGATTCTGTGAAATTTTCCTTGGAGCTTTTTACCTGTAAAATATGAATATAAGAATGCCCACTTCTTAAGAAAAACAAAAGAAATTTACAACAAAAACCCGCTTTACAACTGCCCACAAGTACCTGAAAGGACACTGCAAACCCCATTCAGAGAAGGTCCTGGTCCATAAAGGATGCCATGGTGGAAAGAAGACTAGAGAGGATGGAAACAGAACCTTGACCAGGGTCTTCCAGTTCCTGAACTAAGGGTGAATCATCAAATCAAGAAACAAAAGGAGTGAGGAGCAGTGAGAAGCAACAACAACAGTCAGCTGGATTTCTCTCCATAAAGTGTTCTGGTTAGAAGGAGGAACAGACACATAAGGGGGGGAAATCAGTGTAATTAGACCTATGAACAAACTGAGAGAAGAGGAAAAATAGAAATGTCTCAATAAACACACCAAAAGTGTGTGAAAATTAGGAATCAGAGGAACTTCCTCAACCCTACAAAAGTTATCCATTGAAAACAAAACAATAACTCCAGCTGCAGCTGCTTGATTCCCAAGGCTGCAGTTGAGAATTCTTTCCCAGCCATCAGGAGCAGGAGCAGGATGTCCGCTCACTACTCCAGGATGACTTTTCACAGGAGGGCCTCACCAGGGCAAAGAAATGGGGTCATGTGGATAGAGAATGGATCAGCAGTTAAGACTATTTGTCTTCCATAGGACACAGGTTCAATTCCTAGCACCTACAAGGTAGCTTTCAACTGTGCACAACTTGAGTTCCAGGAGACACATCACCCTTTTCTAGCTTCTGTAGGCACCAGGCACATATGTGATGAACAAATGTGTGGGAAAAACAGCCATATACATAAAATAAGTGTCTTAAGAGAGAAAGTTTACACTTCTTGAAAACAGATGAAAGTGTTTCTCTTCACAGATGACATGTTCTATCTGAATAAAAATTCTAACAAATCTACAAAAGACTACTGGATGTAAAAAATGAGTTTACAAAGCTGCAGGACACAATGTCCGCATGGCAAAGTTAGCTGCATCTTCCTGTCAAAAGGAAGTTAACATCTAATACAGCACCATTTACAGCAATGCCAAAAACCATAAAATTATACATCTAAAAAAGGTTCATAATCAGCATAACAAAAACTACATGCAAAATTTTGAAGAAATCAGGACAGGGCTGGAGAGTTAGCTCAGTGGTTAAGAGCACTTGTTGCTCTTGCAGAGGACCTGGGTTTGATTCCAGCACCCACATGACAGCTTACAACCATCTATAATTCCAGTTTCAGAAATCTGACACTGTTTCCTGACCATGGTTGGAACTAGGAATGAATGTGATGCTAGATATTTATGCAGGCAAAACACTCATATGCATAAATTTTTTAAAATAAAAAAAAGAAATCAAGGAAGTTCTAAACACATAATTGTTGTGGGGCATTTGTTCCCACTGACACTCCAAGACTATCAATAAAGTGTAGCATTGAATCATGGGCAGAGCTAGTGACTAACTGACCAGAATTAGCCATGGATGTTTTGTAGGACCCAAGATACATATATAGAGAGAGAGACACAGGAAGGGGCTAAGAAAGATCCCAGGCCATTTTGTGTTGGGGAAGGCAAGAGACAGGAGGTCATTGATTGCTTCTCCACTGCTTCTCTGATCAATCAGGTTTTTACCCTATTACCTAATTCCCATGTTTTACTCGATAAAAGAACAATATAAGTAAATGCTTACATAATAAAATGGAACACTCAATATTGCTCATATGTCAACAATTTCTTAGCAAGTTTATATGTGCAACAGTTTCACTTCCTGGAGGGTGACTGCCTTCAGAAAAAAATTTATAGCACCAGATTATATGAAAGGTACTATGAGAACTAAAAAGAAACTAGAAGAGTCCTAAACAATTCTAAAAAAGAAGGGTTGAACTCAGAGAGATCATTCTGCCTAATCGCATGACCAATGAAAACATGAATAAATAAATAGCACCACAGCTTGGTGCTAGCAAAACAGTAGACACTAGAACAATACAGCAGAAAAAAAAGACTCCAGAAATTATATCAAACACACATGGTCAACAGATATTTAACAGAGATGTACAGTTGTTATGGCAGGGAAATGGTGGCATCGCTCCAGTATGTGCTACTGAAACAACCCGGTGTCTGTCTGCTAAAAAAAGACACAAGATGGACTGTAGACCCAAGCACAAAGCTTAATATTGTAAAGTCATTTAATTCCTTAAAAAGTAGGGGGAATGTGTGTGAACTTGTCTTGAGCAAAAATCATCTTAGATTCAAGAGAAAATTGACTGTGTAACAGGAGGTTGATGAATTCGATGTTGATGTGACTCTAACGCCTTTCTTTTAGAAAGGCAAAATTGTGCAGCCACTATGGAGCTGTTTGTGCAGGAACTGCACAATATGGTGATGTGTCCCCATCCTGCTCACATATCCCCATACTAAAAGGAAAGACTGCATTTAAGTTTTTAAAAAAAAAGAAAAAGAAACCTATATGTGTATATTTGTAGCAGCTTTAAAGGTCACTGTAAAAAAAAAATGCAACATTTGCAATCATCCAAATGTCCCGAAGATGATGACAAGTTAAACAAACCCTCTCAACAGAAGAAACAAGTTAGACCCCAAGCCTGCACTTCCCTTTTTCTCATATAACTTTACCAGGCATTGTCCCAAGGCTTCTGACTCAAAAGTCCATAAACTAAACTTATCAAGTTTAAGCAAGCTTAAAGGCAGTGAGCCACAGGAAACTGTCTCCTTCCTGCTTATTTGAAAAGAAACCCAAACTGCCATGACTCGCTTCCTCCTCTCACTTCTCTATAAGCTTCCTGCCAGCTTTTCTTAACTTCTTTGTGTAACATTTGATTATGTGGTGCTTGTGTACTTCAGAATTCAGAGCACTGCTCCTGTGCAGGTGGTGCTGTGGACTGTCTCTTAGATTCTAGCCAGCAGTGTGTCTGACTCACTATTGATGGACACTGCACTGTCTGAAGAGCAGAATGTAATACTGCGATGACATGAAAGAAGTCAAATGTGAAGTCTCTGCTTCAGGGATCCATTTTGTGACATTCTGGAAAAGTAAGTGTGTAAGGGCTGGGGACAGAGGTACAGAGTGTCTGCAACAGGGAATGGGGAAGCTGGAATGGGGTAGGGGGCAGGGGGTCTATATATATTTATAAAATATTGTTTTGGATTTATTTTATTTGTATGAGTGTTTTGTCTTTATGTATGTGGATGTGTGTACTACATGCTTGCCTAGTGTTTGGGGTTCTGAAGAGTGTGTTAGATCCCTGGAATTGGAGTTAGGGGCGAGTGTGTGAGCCACCATAGGATGCTGGGAATCAAATCCAGTCCTCTGTAAGAGCAATAAATGCTCTTAATGGTTGAGCCAACTCTCCAGCCCCCATATATCTTGACAAAGAATGCATGATTATATGTTTTCAAAAGTGATAAAGATGTACATCAAGTGAATTAATTTTACTGAACACAAATTATATGTTTTACAAAGTTTCAACTGACTTTAGTTATTACCTGGATTGGTTTCACACATCTAAAATACCAGGAAGCCTCACCCATTAACAATGGAGGAGAGGATAGGTAGGATTGGAAGGCTTAAGCACTAAACTGTGGCCTTTGGATTTTGGGTCCACACAAAATCTCAACCTGCATTCTTTCCAGTTATACAAAGATATGGAAAGTAGCATGATAATTCTCACGTGCTCATTTCCAGGCCCAGCACTTCTCAGCATGTGAGCAATCTGGTTTCCCCGGGTTCTACTCCACATAGCTCCTCATACTCCCTATAGAAAGTAGATCTTGGGAGATTTCATAAACTTCTCCATATTTTGAATACATAGACTTCCTTAAGATTTCTAGTTTTGCATCATACTTTAAAAAAACAGTCTTTCCAAATCCAAGAAAATAATATAAACTCCTGTCTGATTTTAGCTAGTTCTCTCAAACTAACAAGTAGTGTTAGGCTTTAGTGCCTGACTAATTTCTCTCAACATGACATCTAGGTCCACCCATGTTGTCACTAAAGAGGACATCTTCTCTTATTGATGTGTAGTATTCCATTATATATCGGAGTTGATGAATTTTGGATCCTCAGTTATTGGATATCTTTGCCACCAATGAAATAAGCCAATCAAGCCGAATTAGTAAATCCAGGTTTAATCTGAGCAGAGCAAAGCATCTCCCTAGCGGCTATCAGGTAGCCTGTAGGTATGATCTTGAGCAGCCCCAGGAGGGATTGACTCTAGGGGGGCTTTCTGAGGGGAGGGGCTGCTACCTGGCTGGCTTTCTGAGGGGACGGGGTCTGGAAAGGGAAGAGTAGGACCACAGCATGGAATGCTCCACCAACGCCACCGCCCTCAGCTGGAGATTCCCCAACAGGAGTATGGATCACAATTTTCCTCATTTATTCACTGATAGATGCAGATGTGTTCCACGTTCTAGCTATTGTGAACAGTGTTATAATACACAATCTAGTACAAATATCTCTTGGGGGAGGTAGAGAGGAAGTAGACGATATTTACTATAAAGTGGTATCAGATCTGGTGTTTAAATGCACAGTAGGATGAGTACAATTCACAATAACATACAGTGTTTCTAAAAATAGCTGAGAGGGTTTCAATATATTCACCATAATGAAACAAGGAACTTGTGTAAATTTTAATGTGCCAAACAAAAACCACATCCTACTCTGTGTTGGAATTCCCAGCCAAACCCTCATCTATATGACCGCACATGTGCAGTAAAGTAGCAAAACAAGGTGCCTTAGGTCCTATGTTAATCTGTGTGCTGCCTTATCATGCAATATGCACATGCGTGGTGTAGCTCCCTAAGCCCATATGCTCATGTGCAGGGGAATCCATAAAAAGCAGGACACAGACCCCTCCACCTCTTCTTCCTTCTCTTTCTTCTCTCTCTCTCTCTCTCTCTCTCTCTCTCTCTCTCTCTCTCTCTCTCTCTCTCTCTCTCTCGTCACGCTATCTTCTGACCCTCCCCTCTCCCTTCTAATAAAACTCAGCTCTAATAAAGGATTTTGTTGTGACTTGTGACATTTCCTAGCTTAGTAAAAGCACCACATTAAAACCATCTCTTTGGCCTTGAGCTGTTGGGACTGGTTCATCTGCAGGGGCCCCACTGGCAGGAGAAAAAGCTTGCCAGGTTTGGTTTTAGCAGCCCTGGGCTTTGTCTCAGGCCTGGAAGGTGATGAAGAAGGCCGCCACCTTGGAAGTTCACCATCTGTATTGCTTAGTCACGGGCTCTCTTACGGCCTTCACGGCATTTATCTAACCCCTAATCCCTCAGAAATACTTGCTTACCAGAGAAACAGTAGGATTATTCATGGGCTTTCTCTTTTGGTATTAGTCAGAGAAGGTGAAACTGTTACAGAGGCTGTGGTGGGTTTGATGTGTTCCGGAGACCTGGGTCCCCAGACAGCAGAGGAGAGGCTGGGATGGGTTCCAGAGAGCAGGGTCCACAGACAGCAGATGGCACCTTTCGCCTAAGTCAGTCTAAGGACGTTGCCCACTGCTGTGAGGAGTTGGCTGCTGTTTTCAACCCACAGAAAAGTCTGAAGAAGGAAGGAAATCTTTACTTTGGTAACTTTTCCAAGCACAGTAAGTGCTCTGACTTACCCAGAGGAGTATGTGACTTGCTGGCACCTGGAGGGCCTAGACAGGACTCAAAGTCAGGGGCAGCAATAGACACCGACACTTCTGGCTCTCCCATAAGCAGGGTGGCTTCTTCAGTCTGTTTAAGGGTCCTGGGTAGACATGGAGGTGGGCCACTACAGGTGTGCACTGGATGGCCCAGGATAGGGCCCAGGGATTCAAGGGAGGCCTGGTTAGATTGTGTTCCTCTTCATGTTGTCCCCCACCTCCCAGACTGTGTTTCCCATCACCACAGCAGGGGGCCTGTCCACCTAGAGGAACTTGGCCTGATCTCCTGAGGTTGCCACTAGACCCCTGAGCTAACAATAATTGTGAACTCTGTCTTTCAAGAACTATTCTATTCCTAAACAAAAAATATGAAAGTGAGGTGGAGCCATGGCTCAGAGGTGAGGAACACTTGCTGCCCTTGAAGGGAAAGGACTCAGTTCATTTCCAGCACCCACAGGGTGGCTCACAATTGTCTAAGTCCAGTTTTAGGGGATTCAACACCTTCTTCTGACCTCTGTGAGCACCAGGCATGCATGTGGTGCACCAACAGGCAGGCAAATCTCCCACACACATAAAATAAAATAAACTTTAAAAAAAATTAACAGGAAATGGATCTAAAGAATGAGTTATAAACGTTTTTCAAAATGAGAGGATACAGTTTTAAAGTAGAAATCTCCAGTGTCCTTTTCCCATCATTTACCATAAAGTAAAACTGCAGATGGATTTTTTGGTGGGATCGATCTTCCATCCCCTCCCTACTGAAAAACCTGGGATATAACAATAGGAACAGAAGGACTGAGATTGTTCCCTGATGGCCCGGGAGTATGCAGGTGCCCTAAGGAAGGAGGAGAATTTCTGACACCCCAGGGGTCTGGGGAAAAGGCTTAAGGGGAAGGGGGGTTCACAGGCAGTGGGATTCAGATTACAGGAAATGTAATCTGATGGGCAGCTATTTCAATCCTAACACCTACAACACATCCCTACAGTTCTTTTTTTTTTTTTTTTTTTTTTTTTTTTTTTTGTTTTGTTTTGTTTTGTTTTTCGAGACAGAGTTTCTCTGTGTAGCTTTGTGCCTTTCCTGGGACTCACTTGGTAGTCCAGGCTGGCCTCGAACTCACAGATATCCACCTAGCTCTGCCTCCCGAGTGCTGGGATTAAAGGCGTGCGCCACCACTGCCCGGCTTTTTTTTTTTTTTTGGCCCTACAGTTCTTTTAATTACTGTGGGTGAGACAAGAGTTAATCCCAGCCTCACTCTGGTGGGAACTAGTGGATCGAAAATTCCAGATGCAGAAGAGTCCACTAACAATTTCGTTGTTGGTTGCTCTTCCCCAAACGTATTTAAGTAACATACGCCATGAAAGAATAATACAGAATTGCAAGGGTGCTTCCTGCCCACCCTAGAGCCCTCCACCCCACCCCATCCCAGCTCCCCAGCCTCTACTGATCTCTAGAGACCCCTGTGATAGCCTAACAGAGGAAGATTCTGCTCCCCTAGGGAAACTTCCTCTCTCCCTTAAACTTAGTTAACCTTTCATTAAATACATACGGTTTTCTCCCTCGCCACCTGGCAAGGTGGAGTCTGCAGTTAACATTCTCATGAAGGCTTTGCCGCAATTGTATCTTCCTGGTGAAGCAAACCTTGAATGAACGAAGAGGTTTGCAAACCGAAGGTTTGTAGTAAGCGTGTTTTCAAACCAGCTGACTTGGAGGCTCCGCCCAGCTTGCCAGTGATTTGTTGTTGCCTGATCCATCAATCTTTAATATATCCATCCTTTCAGCAAATAAAATCTGCTTCTGGGAGAAAGAGAGTTAGAAATTTGTGACAGGAAATGTGGTGTACCGGAAAGGAAATAAACGGAGCTAAGAAATGTTTTACATTTTGATAGTGCAAAATGTTTTTTAATTACAGCAACTTCACACACACTTTTCTCTTCTGCCAAGGTGGGATGGGAGAGGGTGTTTCACTGTCCTGCGGAAATCAACCTAAACGCAAAAGAACTGCAAAAGGGGGAAATGTAATTGCCAGCCGTTGTCAAGCCTTGTGAGAACGGAAGTTTCTGGAAAGTAACAGCAGCTTCCACAGAACCTTCTACATCGCGGACTGCCTAGCAATCAGTGACCACAGAGGGTTTGAAAACCTCTAAGTTCAGAGCCATCTTTTTTTTTTCATTTCAATTTTTTTTCTTTATTAAGAAATTTTCTACTCACTCCACATACCATCCACAGATCCCCCTCTTCCCACCCCCACCCCCCAGCCCTCTTTACCGAGCCACCTCGCATCCCCACATCTCCCAAATCGAGGTCTCCCATGGGGAGTCAGCAGAGCCTAGGCAGGTCCAAGCCCCTTCTCACTGCACCAAGGCTGTGCAAGGCTTCACACCGCAGGCACCGGATTCCCAGAAGCCTGCCCACAGACCAGAAACAGATCCTGATCCCCCTACCTGGGTGCCCCCCAAACAGTTTGAGCCAAACAACTGTCTTCCGTATCCAGAGGGCCTAGTCCAGTCCCATGGGGGCTCCACAGCAACCAGTCCACAGTTCATGGGCCTTCACCAGTGTGGCCCATCATTTCTGCATATCCTACCATCATGATCTCCATGTCTCTCGCCTAGAGAATCTCTCCTCTCTCTTATCAATTGGATTCCCAGAGCTCAGTCTGGTGGCTGGCCGTGCATCCCTGCATCTGCCTCCATCAGTCACTGGAGAAAGGCTCTATGATGACAGGTTATTTGTTAGACCAGTCACCAGAATAGACCAGTCCAGGCACCCTCTGAACCACTGCCAGCAGACCAAGGTGGGGTCATCCTTGTGGATTTTGAGATCCTCCCCAGAACCCTATTCCCATGATGTCCTCATCAATCATAGTATCTCTCTCCCTGCCCTCCCACTCTGTCCCTGCTCTAGGTTGACTATCCCATTTCCCTACGTTCTCATGCCCCACTCCTCGCCCTCTGCCACCCCCCCACACACATACCCAGTCTGCTCATGTAGATCTTAGCCACTTCTCCTTTGCAGGGTCATCCATGTGTCCCTCCTAGGGTTTTGTTCAGAGCCATCTTTAACCCTCTTTGTAAAAAAATATATTTTACTTTATGCAAATTAGTGTTTTCCCTGCATATATGTGTGTGAACTTTGTATATGCCTGGTACTCATGGAGGTCAAAGAGGGCGTCAGATCTCCTGGACCTAACTGAGCCACCTCTCCAGCCTTCCATCTTTGGCCTTCTCAATAATTGTTTATTGCTATTCACTGTCCCTGAACTTTATGACCATCAGGTAACTCAGAAGACTAGCTTTACTTGGAATATATTAACAGACAGAAAGCTCCCACAAACCCAAAGGCTAAGAGCATCATCAGGTACCATCTGACCCCTGGGAAAAAAGTCCCCCTTTACTTTGCTGTAACCCCGTCTCTGATGTTTCCACCAATGTGCTTAAAGTGTCTTTATGTATGGCTTCCTTTGTTCTGTGACTATAAAGACTCCACTACCACACTGGAAATTGGAATTTGGGATAATGTAAACCTTGTTCCTGGGCCATGGTCACTCATTTTGTCTCCAGAGTTAAACTCTTATCCCTTGAGGTGAGAGTTGGGATTCAGCATACAATGGACAGTGACTCCCTGGGAAGAGGATAGGAGAGCACATTGTCTCTGTAGGACAAGTGAGGCAGAGAAGAGGTAGACTAGATACCAGCAAGCTGAGAGTGCTTTATTGGAATAGTGAGGGCCCAATCTTACCATGGCATGAGATTGAGCACAATTATAGAAGCTGGGGGGCGTGTGTGTGTGTGTGTGTGTGTGCGTGCGTGTGTGTGTGTGTGTGTGTGTGTGTGTGTGTGTGTGTGTGTGTGTGTACCAGAAAACTGCAGCTGTGTTTGTCATCTGATTGGGAGCAGGTGAGTTGTTTTCATTACCCAGGCATGTTGTTTCTACAGCTGGAGCTGAACTCTGAGCTGAACCCTGAACTCTGGGACTAAGAAATTCTTTATGAGTGGTGCTACAGCCTAACACATCCTGACTCAATTCCTTGTGACATGAGTCTATTACTCTAAATATCCCAACTCTGGTATGGTGGGGAAAAAAATGGTAGAGAGGATTTGTTCTTTGGAGATGATGTGGTGGGTCTCTAAGGTGGAGTGAGCATGTTGAGGATGCAGAGGGGTCTATCCAGAAAGTGTTGTCTGCCTTTCCCTATGTTTGATTCTTTCTAATAATTGCCTAGCATTTCTCTTTACTAGGCAGGGTTGATTAGCATCAAGTAGAACTCCTCACCTACAAAGGCTAGCCTTTTTAAAAAAATAGCCTGTCAGTGGAGGAGGAGGGTGAGCAACTTCAGAGATACAAGATCAGAGTCTGATTTGAATAGGGAATGTAGGTAAATCATGATATCAGCCATCAGAGGGGCAGGGCTTGTGGGAAAGGAGTGTGTTGGCTTATTAAAGGCAGATTAAAGGAGTCAGAAAAGGCAGAAAAAGAGAGGCAAGCCATATCTTCACACAGGACCATTAATACTGGTAGAAACATAGAGGGGGGTCATCTCAGATCTCACTCACATGGATGGATGAGCCATATATCCCATGAGATGTCGGTTTATGAGCAACTGTCCACTCCATATGGGTGGACAAGAAAACATTCCCACTGGAAGAAACTGCCTTCAACCTTTATGGGAACAGAAATGACTTCCATGGTCCAGAAGCTGAAACTTTCAGGAGGAAACTATCCAAGTGTCTTGAGTGTACAATGTTGGCCTTGGAGTTGGTGTTTTTGTTGTTAGAGCAGAGTTAGGATATGACAGAGCAGTCTGTTGGGCCATTTGGTCAGCCTGGTTTTTTGAGAAGAGAGGTAAATCATTTGTCTTTTTGATGTCTCCTGTGGTGGAGCTTGGCTGCTTGGGAAGGGGAAATGCTTCATTTCGATATCCAAAGGGAGTTCATAATTGATGTTTCCTTTTGGTTAGGAAACCCATTTCTCTGCAGAACACGGTGTTGCATGGACTATGTTGGAGACGTATTGGAAACCAGTGTATGTATTGGCGATAAGAATGGAAGAAAAGCAAGTGTGAGAGCCCAGGTGAGGACAGTTATTGCTGCCCTTGGGAAGCTGTGTGAGGGGTAGGAATTTGTCTTCTACTAAGTGTGGGCTTGGGGGAGCAGTGGGGTTCTGCCAGCGCCCATGTCAGAGGAGCTACAGTCAGCATGGAGCTCATGGAGTTCAGTTCACCTAACAGCAAAGCTGAACCCTGAAGAGGCAAAGCCCTGGGGCTCTGAGGAGGAGGCAGGGAAGGGAGAGAGAGATTGTTCCCAGAATGCCCCTTGCTTCTGCAGTGCTTCCTCCTACCTGCTGCGGCCATGTGCCTGCTGCATTTTGCCTGGTGTGATGCAACCCCACTCCTCACTGGGCAGTTACCTGCAGATCACAATGAAGATGATTTCCATAAGAGCAATGATGATGAGATCAATGATTTAATTGGACTTCTGGGTTAGCCTAAAACACATGGATGGTTAAGACATTAAAGATGATTAGGGAAGTGGTTTAGGTTATTTGGCCAATTGCTCCAATAAAAGATTTAAAAAAAAAACTTTATTTTAGACTAAAAGTTACCTTCCTCTTCATTAGATGTGAGAATTGAAGAGTATAGTGTAGCTGGAGTTTCTCTCCGGTTCCCGCCAAGCCCCTGCAGTCCCACAGCTCACTCATAAAATAATCACTCAGAGGCATATATTACTTATAAACTATATGGCCATGGCAGGCTTCTTGTTATCTAGTTCTTCTATCTTAAATTAACCAATTTCTATTAATCTATAAGTTGCCACGTGACTTGTGGCTTACTGGTATCTTAACATCTTCTTCTTCTCATGGCAGCTGGCAGTGTATCTCTGCCTCAGCCTTCCACTTCCCAGAATTCTCTTCTCTGCTTGTCCTACCTATACTTCCTGCCTGACTACTGGGCAATCAGCATTTTATTTATACAGCACGATATCCACAGCACAGTTTCTTAGTCAAGTAACTTACAGAATTAATCACAGGCCCCAGTATTCACCTTGAAAAAGCCAAGTTGTGAAAGGAAATTAAATGACCCTATTGTGTGTGAAAAAAGATAGATTGTTAGCTGACCTGTCCTTTCTCTGGAGTAAAAACAGGATAGGAATCTGTACACTAAAACACAAACAGCTGCCTTCCAGTACAAAAGGAACTGGATAAAAAACACTTAGCTTGCTTAAACCTTTGTCAACCAGTAATAAAAGAATCAATGCTTTGGGGTGAAGATGTTATGGTGGGAAAATTAATACAAAGAAAAATGTTTACTTGTAGACTTGTAAGAAAAACAGGTAACTTGTGATCATAATGTAATTTCTTCCTATGTAACATTTTAATTTGTTTTTCGAAAAAATATGTCACTTATAAAGTAACCTTTTCTTTCAAAGAGATTTTTGTCTTAGGGGGCTGGAGAGATGGCTCAGAGGTTGAGAGCACTGGCTCCTCTTTCAGAGGTCCTGAGTTTAATTCCTAGCAACCCCATGGTGCCTCATAACCATGTACAATAGGATCTGATGCCCTCTTCTGACATACATGCGGGGGCGGGAGGGGAGTTTTGTCTTAGGAGGTGTAACAGGAATAAGAGAAAAATAAAAATAGGAGAAGGAAGAATGAGGAAAGATGTGAAGGGAAACATCGGGGAAGAGGTAACAGGAAAAACATCTGAAAGAAGTAGAAGGGAAACAACTGGGAAGAATAAGAAAAGGGAAACAGCAGGGAAAAGAACAGGACAGGAAGAAAAGAACACAGAGTAGGAAGAAAGACCAGCAGAGGAAGAAACAACAGGAGGAACTGAGCTTTGTCCCTCAGATAGTCCACGTGTGGGGGTGCGTCAGTCCAAGAGTTCGCCCATCCCTGTCTCCTCTCCAGTTTCTCTGGCCTCCTGGGAGCATGCTGGGGGCTGGGCCCCTCCACAGCAGGGTTCCCTTGAAGTACAGCACATCCTGCTGTGTAAGGGTCTGTTTTAGGCTGTTCCCATCTGTCAACAACCTGGGGCTTCTTCAGGGGTTGATCAAATACATGGGCAAAAGGGTTAGAAGGAAGGTCAAGTGTCTCAAAGCAAGAGTGAAGGAGATCAGAGGATGTGCAGGGTTATTGGAGAAGTGGTGTGGGGTTGATAGTGGGCATGGCTCCAATATGAGGCTGTGATATATATTAGTATGTCTGGAGAAGCTGTACTCTGGATGGAGATAGAGTCAGGAAATCTCAGTGGTTGATGAGGCCCTTGAGTGAGGGTAGTGTCGTGGTATTGTGTTCCCCAAAATATTGTGCACGCTAATAAAATTATCTGGAGTTAGAAAAGAGAACAGCCACAATATTAAACATAGAGGATAGGCACTGATACCACACGCCTTTAATCCTAGCATTCCAGAGGCAGAAATCTCTCTAGATCTCTGTGAGTTCAAGGCCACATTGGAAACAGCCAGGCATGGTGACTCACGCCTTTAATCCCAGAAAGTGAGCCTTTAATCACAGGGAGTGATGGCAGAAAGCAGAAAGATATATAAGGCTTGGAGGACCAGAAACTAGAAGCTTTTGCCTGGTTAAGCATTCAGGCTTTCGAGCAGCAGTTCAGCTGAGATTCATTCTGGATGAGGACTCAGAGGCTTCCAGTCTGGGGAAACAGGATTAGCTGAGGAACTGGTGAGCTGAGGTAGCTGTGGCTTGTTCTGCTTCTCTGATCTTCCAGCATTCACCCCAATACTTGGCCTCAGGTTTAATTATTATTAATAAGACCTTCTAACAATTCGTGCTACAGTGTAGTGAGGATGTACAGAGGGCTGTGAAGTGAAATTTTGTTTGCCTTGAGGATAAGCAGTGCCACTGTGGCCATGGTCTAGGGGTAAAGTGGTCAGCCTACACTGAATATATCTAGATGTTTAGAGAAATAGGCCATTGGATATGTGTCCCCTCTCAACTTCTGGCAAAGTATTTTCAGGGCTTGTCCTTGGTTAGCATGTGAAAGAGAAAGATGGGCTTGTATGGGTCCAGAAAGGCTAGTGTAGAATCCAGGGAATGCACTTACATGTTTATGGGGGAAAGGAGGGGTTGAAGGGGAGAGTGACTCCTCTAGGGGCCCCTTTGTGGCATGATAAAGGAGCTGAGCAGCAAGGGAAATGTTAAGGACCCATATGCAGAGGAATTAAAGAGTTTGGTAACACAAGCAGCTCACATTTGGTTTGTGGGCTGGGGAAGGCAAGGAGTTCCTCTAACCTGGCTCTGGGTAAACTTCTCCCTCTTGTGAGACAGACAGGCCCAGATAGGTGACTGATGGCTGGAGGATCTGGGCCTTGTCTCTGGAAATGATATAGCCTTAAGAAGTCAGTAAAGAAGGGTCCTGGAGAGCTGGAGGTAGGTCTGAGGAGAAGGACTGTATAAGAGGAAATTATCTTCATACTGGAGAAGGAGATGAGGGGGCAGGCTAGGTAGGTGAGGTCCTTTTTAAGACCTGGCTAAAGCAGTGGGGGCTGCCTCAGAATCCCTGGAGCAAAGCCATCCAATGAGCTGCTGGGCAGGCAGGTTATCTATGTCCTCCATGTGAAAGCAAAGGAGGCTTGGGAAGATGGGTGTTTGTTATTAAAAAAAATCAGGCAAATGAGGATTGTTACAAGATCTTAGAAAATTAAATGAAATCATGGAGCCTATGGGCACTTTACAACCTGGTCTGCCATCACTGTCTGCCATCCCTAAAGGCCATAATGTAATTGTTATAGACTTACAAGATGGTTTCTTTACCATACCATTACATCCCCAAGATGGTCAGCCTTTTGCCTTTAGCCTGCCTTCACCAAATTTTCAGAGACCTTCTCAGAGATATCAATGGAAAACTTTACCTCAAGGGAGCAGGACAAGCCCGACTTTATGTCAGAAGTTTGTAGATACAGCTCTCTTGCAAGTTCCTAAACAGTACTCTGATGTTCATCTTGTTCATTATGTGGATGATACATTGATTTCTCATGCTGAAAGAGTTTATGTACAGGAGGTGTTACAATTCCTGGTACAACAGTTAACTTTATATGGGCTTCAGGTGGCCCCTGAAAATATTCAAATTCAGCCTCCTTTTTCTTATTTGGGACATGTTATTCACACAGACTTCATTTCTCCACAACCTTTTCAATTATGGATGGGCCATTTAACACCTTTAAATGATTTTCAAAAACTGCTTAGAGATATTAATTAGATTAGTCCTTACCTGGATATACCCACAGCCAAATTTAAACCTTTATTCAATATTCTCCTAGGTGACCCTAATCCTAAATCATCATGAAAGTTAACACCTGAAGCTGAAACTTGTTGATGTAACAGTCTTGTTAAATAAGAAACACAGAGCCAATGCAGAGATGAAAGCCCAAGAGGTCAGAGCTAAGAGCTAAAGACCTTACCCTTCACTGCTGTTGCTGTCCTCTTCAACCAAGAAACCTACATCCTGTGTGTCTGTCTTTATATAGACTTTCTGTTCTGCCTTCTCATTCGTTGTAAACACAACCACATGACCTCCTCGTCACTGCCCATCTACCACAACCATCTTCTGTGGTTGGTATTGAGATTAAAGGAATGTATCGCCATGCTGGTTGTATTCTTGAACACACAGAGATCTGCCTAGCTCTGCCTCCTAAGTGCTGGGATTAAAGGCATGCACCACCACCACCCAGCTTCTGCTATAGCTTGCTATTAGTCCTGACCCCCAGGGTCAGGCTTTATTTATTAACATACAAATAAAATCACATTTCAGTACAAATAAAATATCACCATAGAAACTTCCTTGGCTCTTATAGAAGAAAAACAATTCTCAGAGACTTCTTCATGTAGATTATACTAACCCATGGAGTCTTGTTTTTACTACCCACTGAATATACCCCTACTGTCTGCTTGTGGCAGAAAGAGCCACTGGAATTATTACATTTGCCAGCAGTCCATTTAAAAAAAAGTGTCTATACCCCTCTGGTTGCCTCGTTATTAAGTAAAGGAAGAAAATGGAATAAAGAATTGTTTGGACAAGATGTTCATGACATAATAATTGCTTACAGCTAAACAACATAATATTTTGTCTTATGAGTCTGTAGAATGGCAAATTACTCAACTAGGGTATATGGGTACTTCCTAATATCAATTACCTGACCATTATTTGTTAAATTCGTATTACCACATCCTGTTTTATTTCCTTATAGAACTAAATCAGCCCCACTTCCTCCTCCAGCTGCCTTGTCTTTGTGATGGTTCAGCTTCACTTCAAGCTGCATTGAATATTGTTGTTCAAAAAGAGTCCTGTCCTACACAGGAAACCTCCCCACAGGGACTGGAATTAATAACAGTGATTACTGTTTTTGAAAGACTTAAAGACAAACTTTTAATTTATATACTGATTCTCAATACATGGTCAGATTGTTTCCTCACCTAGAATCTGCATCACTCCCCATCTAGCCAATAGCCTCAACTATAAACTGCTACAGATAACTTTTACTTACATCATAAGCTATTAAAAATATTTAAAAGGATACAGTTTAATACTTAATCATATTACAAATGGTCATATTCTTTATTATATTCAAAACTATATTTCTAAACAGACTAAATATTAATATAAAAAATTCCATACTTAGCCCCCTGACATTAAAATGTTTAAACTTCTCACAATAAACAAAATTATGCTTTTTTGTTTTATTTCTGTCAGGGCTCTACTTTAATTATGTATACTTTAAACTCAATCGCATTCCTTTGTCTGATAAAAAGGTGGGGTCTATTCCCCAATTTACTCCTTTACACAAAAATCTCAGATTCAACAGCCAAAGTCCTATACTGCTCCTATTGACAACTAAAATCTATAATCATTGCCTCCAATAAAGCTATGGTAAATATGGTAAACACCCTTCCTGAGGCTTCAGCTGTTTCACAACTTTTCTTATTAACTAAAAATCAGGCCACTGGCCTCACTCCCTTACATTAATGCCAAATCTGAGAACAAATTGTCATGCTACCAGACCCCAAATAAAAAATGAACTCCCTATACAGGTTTCAAAATAACTTATTGTCTTACAATGACTTCCCTCAATAATCAACCAACTTTTCCCAAAACTTCTGAACTTTGAACTTTGGCTTTTTACACCCCCATTTTTGCCTCAGAGAGAAATCACTTTCTCCTGCTGCTTGGACTTAGCATTTCAGGTGTCCCCTGGTCAAAAGCTTCCATAGGAAACTTTTTCTTCCCCATAAGCTCAAAGAAGAGCTTTTTTTACTACCCGTAAAACTCAAAGAAAGATTTTTTTCCCCCAGTTTGTGTTCATAGCCCCCAAAGTTAGAAAATTGAAGTTTTTCTGTCTAGTTGCTTTTAGTTACTTAATTTTCCTACACAATCTTACATTTCTAAATTTTTCCTACACTATATTACTACACTATATCTTATATTTTTCACAGAAATTGAGAAAGGGATAGAAGATAGAAAATTTTGACAGAAGAGAATTTTGCGCTGCAGCATCGGACATCCTTCCAGTCCGTTTTTCCTTTTCTCTCGAGGATAAAACCCCTGACACTGGCATGCCACTTT